GCACTTCCAATCTGTTTTTTAAACACATGAACTGAGAAATCTACAATCACTGAAACTGAATTTTCACCAATAGTGCTGTGCTGAGTCAGTCAGTCACTCAGTCATGTCTGACTCTTTGCGACCCTGTGGACTGTAGCCCACCAGGCTCCTCTGTTCATGGGGATTCTCCAGGCAAGAATACTGGAGTGCGTTGCCATGCCCTCTTCTCAGGGGTCTTCCCACCCCAAGGACTGAGCCCAGGTCTCCCACACTGTAGGCAGGTTCTTTACTGTCTGAGCCACCAGGGAAGCCCGACAGAGTGGCCATGAAGGAACACGGCACATGGAAGATATGCTGGATCAGAAAACTTATGTCTTACACTGAATTTCTCCAGATGGAGACAGGACAGAATCATGATTTTTTAGGCTGTCCCAAAGCTTTCTACAAGCAGGCAGTTGAGGTGATGAACAAAGGCTGAGTGGCACAATAGCACAGGTAACAGAGGAGCTGATTCTGGCTATGCAATATTTCATTATGTATATGTACCACATCTTCTTTATCCATCCCTCTGCTGATCGATGTTATTCTTCAACCCTAAATTTAGGCAGTTACAAAAACTTTGCCTAGCAGGCTTCATGGGAAAATCTGCCACCTCCACATGAGACTCGCTGCCTAGCCAATGCACTGCAATCTCTGAAAGGCTGCAGTTAGACTCAAGCTCCTGTGGCTAGTCATGTTCTTAGATACCTTGGTATTTATGTCCCGGGCATCTTCATTGCCAGGTCTGTTTGTCTGAAGCTTTGGAAAGAGGCTTTCCTCATGTGGCCTCCCCACTGGCTCAGTGGTAAAGAGCCTGCCTACCAATGCAGGAGGCACAGGAGATGCTGATTCTATCCCTAGGTTGGGAAGTTCCCCTGGAGAAGGAAATGGCAACCCACCCCAGTATTCTTGCCTGGAAAATCCCATAGACACAGGAGCCTGATGGACTATGGCCCGTAGGGTCACAAAGAATCAGACAGGACTGAGCAACTGAGCACTTCTTCAGGTACTTCTGCCAATGCCTCCTTGTAGGGGGAGAAGGGGAAAACTTTAAGACTTCTTCCACTCTGATTCAGTGCTCTATTTTTCCATACCTTGTCTTTTTCTTCTCTCCCTCCCCTTGGTTTTAGGATCATGAAATTGCAGGAGCTACACTTTTTAGGGCACCCTCAACAGTGATGCCATTCCATAAAGGGACAAAAAACACGGAGGAGTAGGTGCTTTCTCCAGCTTTAGACTCTAGACTCATGCTATCACTGTAAGTGGTTAAGGGCTTCCTGTCACTTTGTTTTGGCTCATTGGTTTTTGTTTTTTTCCTATATATGCAGTTCAGCTCTCCCTCTCAGCTCAGCTTATCTGACTATAACTTATTTTTCTTATATTTTCTGTACAGAATTTTTTTTTTAAAGAATCAGACTGTGGGAAACAGGACACCTGAAAATGCATTCATTTCTTCATTAAGCTGTTATTGAATTATTATGCCTCAGACATCATAAAATTACATTAAATATCAGTAAAGCATGAGCCTTCAGTTTAAGAAGTAGCTTATGATTGGGCAGGACTAAAATTAGGTCAGTAGAGTCTTATACTTTCTGTTAATATGATAGAAGTACATTTAGAGTATAGCAGTGACACAAAATAAATCTTGTCAGCATGGAGAGTGGAGGTGAGTCAGAGTCAAGTTTGTATGTTACAGATCAGTGCTGAATTTTGAAAACCGTGGAGATGATTTTCAGGTGATGGATGTTGGAGAGAATACTCTGGTAGAGGAATAAGAAAAGATACAGCTAACTGAAGACAGGAGATTGCAAATTGCTCAGCATGGCAGGGTAATGAATCAGCTTGTGGGGGCAGAGGCAGAGGCTAGGTAGGGCATGGACCAGCAGAAGGAAGACCTTGAGTACTTTGCATGTGGTATCCATTCCTCTGGTAGGTGGTTCATGCTTAGTTTGAATGAGAATTAAAGGCAAACATCATGACACCTGGCTACACCTCATTTATTGATTCTTGTATCTGCTTATCACTTTTTTTCTTACCCAATCAATTCTACACAGTTAGATAAGATATTTTAAAACAGTCTTATTCAAAACTGTCAACATTTCTAGTCTCTTTGTCTGGATTTCAAAGTCTTTCACAATCTCAACTATAGAATACAATCTTGATTATTTCTCCTTTCACCCATAAGAAATAGCTTGTTACTTTTGGAGTAAGTAAGTTGGATAAGACTCTTGAGGGTCCCTTGGACTGCAAGGAGATCAACCAGTCCATCCTAAACGAGATCAGTCTTGGGTGTTCATTGGAAGGACTGATGCTAAAGCTGAAACTCCAATACTTTGGCCACCTGATGTGAAGAGCTGACTCATTGGAAAAGACCCTGATGCTGGGAAAGATTGAGGGCAGGAGGAGAAGGGGACGACAGAGGATGAGACGGTTGGATGGCATCACTGACTCAATGGATATGGGTTTGGGTGGGCTCCGGGAGTTGGTGATGGACAGGGAGGCCTGGAGTGCTGTGGTTCATGGAGTCGCAAAGAGTCGGACAAGACTGAGACACTGAACTGAACTGAATTGTTACTTCTCTTGCACAATTTGGCCCTGCTTCCAACTTCTTTCTTGCTTTTTGATTTATGTTTTTCTTAAAAAATAGCTTGTTTCTGCCTGCTTCTTGTATTAATATCTGTATTTTCCATATTTTATTCTTTTGTCATGTTTAGCATAACAATTTTCAATTATAGAGACAAATAGACATTAGAAACTTCTATAAATGTCATCATGAGCTAACAGTGGAAAATATTTTTTCTACCTCTTTTGGACTGAAGAAAAACACACCTGGCTCACACCTGGCTTGGGGTATATAAATAACCACACTAGAAACAATCACCTCATTTTAAGACTCTTATACTAAAATTTCACAATCAGTCAAGAAGAAAAACTTTGACCAAAGGCATGGTAGAGGAGGATGGAATGAAACATGTTTTGAAATGGGAGTCTTGGTAAGTTGGGCAAAAATCTATCAGAATGGGAAATACAGTCTGTCATTTTACACTTCTTGTTTTTTCATTCTGAAAGCAAATTATCATAGAATCATCTTATAATCCTTCTCTTATCCCCCTTTCCATAACAAAATCACTATTCAATTAATTTTGACATTTTCATTCAACTAATTTTCCTCCAACTAATTTTAATTAAACTGCTGTCATCTTTATTGAACTGCTGTCATTTCCAAGAGTTTTCAGTCCATTTGCATTACAAGGCCACTAGTTTATATGATAAGAACTATCAAAATGTTCCTCACTGAACTCCCTGATAATAATTTTTCCACATCCATCTATAAATCATTACCAGGCCAATATTTCCAAAACAGAAATAGATAATATCATTCTCCTGTGTGCTCATAAGCCTCCAAAGACATTTCATTGTTTGCACAATGGAGTTAATAACTACCTTGCTCAGAAATTTCTACAATTTGGCTTCAAATATTTTTTTCTAGGCAAAACTTTAACACTCACTTTTTTGCTTCTTATAAAGGCAACTGAATTATCCACACATGTTCTACTTGTGTTTACCAAGTGATCTTGAAATTTCTTCACCTTTCACATAAACTCTTTTCATTTTTGCTTTTAATCTGTTTTATGATTTTATCACGTTGAAAGTTAAGGAGTTTTTCAAGGTTTATCTGACTCTTTCAAACAAACTACATTTATAGAGCTAATATATTTAGCTCTTCATTAATAATGTATATTCTCTTGAGTATGATATTTTCTGCATTGAATATTAGGAAATTTTAGCCAGCTTGTTTATATAATGTTGCTTTAAAATATACCTAAAAAATACATTTTATTTTTGGCACTACAGTAATTGAATGAACATATATAATTCGATTTATATTATATAATTTGGCTCCTCAAACATACCTTTTTCATCCCCTCCTAGTTATTTCTGATGCTTTCTCACATGTCAAAAATTGCTCTTATATCCCTTCCCATCCAATATTACCTATTTTTAAACATATTATTTTAGTTAGTTTTATACATAAAGACTCCTAGACTTCATATTTCAAAATGATATTTTTTCAAGTATTATTTTGCAAAATCTATTTGAAAATTATTTACTTAGATCATACTTTTAAATTTATTTTAAAATTTGAATTGTTTATCACTTAACTATTCAATTTTCCTTTGTCTCTCTAGATATACAATTAAACCCAAGACTATCTTACCTTTCTCTGTTTAGGCAGTGACTAGAGACGAGAGTTTAAGAGTGCCATCTCCATTTGTGCCTATGATAAAACCTGAATATCACATTTTGCATGCAGATTTTGTCAACAGTTAAAAACCATGATATGCTGTTCACTTTATTTTGAGAGACACTAAATTTCAGAAGTAAGTAGATCATCACACATTTCTTGACATGCATCCAAATATCCACTTTGAATGAATTTAATAATCAGTTTCCAGATAACCCCAAAGCTGAAAGCATTTATGATTTTTTACTGGACTGGAATGAAGTAACACGGATTAATGTTCCGAGTCAGTAACACATTGCTCAGTTGCTTCAGTCCTGTCCAACTCTTTGCAACACCATAGGATCTTCTCTGTCCATAGGATTTTCCTGGCAAGAACACTTGAGTGGGTTGCCATTTCCTTCTCCATGGGATCTTCCCAACCCAGGGATCCAATCCGAGTCTGCTGTGTCTCCTGCACTGTAGACGGATTCTTTACCACTGAGCCACTAGGGAAGCCCAGTAACACATTGAGGATGAAAAATTAACAGGTTGGACAAGTCAGTCTTCTTAATCCTTTCAGCTCATACATTCTGTGATTCTGGGATGAGCTATTTCACCACTACTCTTCAACATTGTTTTGGAAGTTTTGGCCACAGCAATTAGAGCAGAAAAAGAAGTAAAAGGAATCCAGATAGGAAAAGAAGAAGTCAAATGAATCTGTTTTTATTCCTCTTTTAGCAGGTGCAGTTCCCTCTAGAGGATGGAAAAAGCCAATGAGAGTTCTCTGATTGGTTTTATCCTTCTAGGATTCTCAGACCACCCTCGCCTAGAGGCTGTGCTCTTTGTATTTGTCCTTTTGTTCTACCTCCTGACCCTTGTGGGAAATATCACCATTATCATCATCTCATACCTGGATCCTCCTCTTCATACCCCTATGTACTTCTTCCTCAGCAACCTCTCCCTTCTGGACATCTGCTTCACCACTAGCCTTGCACCTCAGACCCTAGTTAACCTGCAAGGACCAGAGAAAACCATCACTTATGGTGGTTGTGTGGTACAACTCTATATTTCTCTAGCACTGGGCTCAACCGAGTGTATCCTCCTGGTTGTGATGGCCTTGGATCGCTATGTTGCTGTTTGCAAACCTCTTCACTATGTGGTCATCATGAACCCACGGCTATGCCAGCAGCTGGCATTTATCTCCTGGCTCAGTGGTTTGGCCAATTCCTTGATTCACGCAACCTTTACTTTGCAGTTGCCCTTTTGTGGCAACCACAGGCTGGATCATTTTATTTGTGAAGTACCAGCTCTCCTTAAGTTGGCTTGTGTGGATACCACCATCAATGAGTTGGTGCTTTTTGTTGTTAGTATCCTGTTTCTCCTAATCCCCCCAGCACTCATCCTTATCTCCTATGGCTTCATAACTCAAGCAGTGCTGAGGCTCAAGTCAGTGGAGGCAAGGCACAAAGCCTTCAGCACCTGCTCTTCCCACCTTACAGTGGTGATCATTTTCTATGGCACCATAATTTACATGTACCTGCAACCAAGCAACAGTTATGCTAAGGACCAAGGCAAGTTCATCTCGCTTTTCTATACCATGGTGACCCCCACCTTAAATCCTATTATTTACACTTTAAGAAACAAGGATGTGAAAGATGCTCTGAAGAAACTTCTCACAGGAAAACTGTGCTCTCTACAAACATGATGTGCAAGGAAGTGATCACAAGTCATGTAGTTACTCAGTTTTTACTTAGCCAAAACACTGTTCTCAGTTTTACACAAATTATTGTTCACTTGTTTTATCTATATAAGGAAACTCCTCTTCTTTTATATGTAAATAACAAAATGTATATATCTTTATTTGTTGAGCGCTTGAACCATGGGAAACAGAATTGTGCATGGGTATACATTGTGACCTCACCACAAAGTCTGTACTTTACTTCTGACACTTATTCCCAAGGATTCAAAAAAAAAAAAAAAAAGCAAACCATTAAGTATTTACCAACTATTCACTGAAAGTTAAGAAATTTTGAAAGACTTTTCTAAGACCACTTTCAAATAAAATTTATATTTTTAAAATAATTTTTATCAGTTAAAGTAATAAAGAAGTCTCAGTCAAAGATTATCCAATGAATCTTAGTACATCAAGAAAACATTACAGTTATGAAAAGTTGGGTCAATTTTGGTATAACTTTTTTCTTTTTTGCATTGTACGGATCCCACTCCATAAACAAAATATGATTCTGTATAGGCTACAGTAGTAATTCTGTAAATATATGTGTGTTTAAGTGTGTTTATGTGTGTTTGTGCTATACTAGTTGGAAGAGAACAGAGCAAATATGAAAGTATAATGATAAGTAGCACAAAACAGATTATATTTGATTGATAATTAATTCATTGTTCCAAGTACATTGTCTCATAAAGAGGGCAATGGGTTATCAAAGCTTTTCTGTTGTGTCATCTTCAACAAAGCAGTAAAATTTCTGACAAATCAATATTTTTTCTTTTTCAAAACAGGCATCAATGATGTGCAATACTATTCTACATTGAAATTTATAACTCTTATCATTTTATGTGGAGAATAAATCATTCCTTATAGCAAAAATGGGTAAGCTACCCATTAGAAATGGAAGTTTCTATTAATATGAAACTTCTAAAACTAGATTTGAGGCTTTCCAAGTGGTGATAGTGGTAAAGAACCCACCTGCCAATGCAGGAGATGCAGGTAAGAGGTGCAGGTTCGATCCCTGGGTTGGGAAGATCTCCTGGTGGAAGGCATGGCAACCCATTCCAGTATTCTTTGCTTGGAGAATCCCATGGACAGAGGAGCCTGGCAGGTTACAGACCACAGGGTGGCAAAGAGTCGGACATGACCGAAAAGACATATCATCAAAACTAGATTTCAGAAATATAAATATAAGCTATTTTCAACTAGATATAAAAAGATAATGTGGAACTTTGCACAATATCAGTAACTTAAATATGGAAAAAATGATTATAAAACTGAATGCTGGCAGATAAGTCAAAAGTAACTACGTGCAGAGTAAACAACTCTTGATTATGTGTGGTATAAATAAGAAGCAGCTTGAATAAACATTTTCTTTACCATGGAAAATTCAAGTTACAGAGTAGTATTTCACTTTATTTCTTAATGAAGTTAAAGTTGGTGTTATCTGTTGAACATGGCAAAGACTGAAAATGTTCCTTGGATAAGAGGTGGAGGATCAAAATTGACACAAATATTGTGCGTTGCAAGAAAATGAAAGGATTTGAATTAATAATGCATTTTCATTCTGGTTAATGAACAGACATTTATAAAGACAAGATTTTCAATACTATGATTGTGACTATGCTTCCAAACTAATGAAAATAAGAAAGTTTCTGGATTTGATTAAACCAATGTCACAGAATATTTATCTTTAGAAAATTAAGTTAAAGAGGAAGTTATATATTGACAGTACTTTTTTATTATATCAACTTTGCCTAGAGAAGAAAGGAAACAAAAAGGCATAGCTATGATCATAAGTGTCCTAGCTCAGGGATAACTTAAATATTTAATTATATTTAGCCAGATAATATGACCACAAATTTGAAAAATCACATTTTAAGGTTGAGAATTTACCTTTTTAATCAGATAATTAGCATGTGGTATAAATATCTTGCTTTCTGTGATTTAAAAAATAAGCCACATTTTGACAATATTTTCACTAATTGGGTTTTAAAATTATAAAATATTTGACTATCTTATAAATATCATCCAAACAAAATTTAATCTTAGCATACTACAGAACATAATTAAGAACAACCAAATTAGTTTGCCAACATCTCTGAACAGACTATTTCCAACTTCAGGCATGTGATTTAAATGTTTTATTGATTTGTAACTGATGAAATAGAAATAATAGCCTATATTGGGAAATCTCTCCCTCTTTATGGATTTTTTGATCAATCTAAATTTAAAAAGCCATTAATACTTGTTTCCATGTTCAGAAACCTATAAATTTAGAGTAATTTTTAAAAATTTAATAAGAAAAATATACAAAATGCTTAGCTTAAGCTATTTTTTAGCAGAATATTTTATTTAATTTTAATTTTATTGGAGTATAGTTGATTTACAATGATGTGTTAGTTTCAAGTGTACAGCAAAGTAAGACTTATACACATATATACCACTCTATTTTTGGATTTGATTCCCATATAGGCCATTAGAGAGCACTGATTGGAGTTTCCTGTGCTATACACTAGGTTCTTATTAGCTATCTATTTTAAATATAGTACTGTGTATATGTGTGTATATGTCAATATCAATCCCCAGTTGATCAGTACCCTCTTACCTTCTGGTAACCATAAGTTTTGTTTTCTACATCTACTGTCTTTTTTTGTAGGTAAGTTCATTTGTTACCTCCCTCCCCTTTTTAAAATTACACATGTATGTGATAGCATATGGTATTTGTCATTTTCTGTCTGACTTACTTTACTCAGCAGGACAATCTCTAAGTGTTACCACAAATGGCATTATTTCATTATTTTTAATGACTGAGTAATATTCCATTGTATATATGTTCCACATCTTCTATATCCATCCTTCTATTGATGGACATTTAGATTGATTCCATGTCCTTGCTATTGTAAATAGTGCTGCAGTGAACATCAGGGTGCATGCAGCTTTCCAAATTATGGTTTCCTCCGAATATATGCCTAGAAGTGGGATTGTGGGATCATATGATAGCTATATTTCAGATTTTTAAGAAACTTCCATATTGTTCTCCATAGTGGTTGTACCTACTTACATTCCTCCAACAGTGTGGAGGGTTCCCTTTTCTTCACACCCCCTTCAGAATTTACTATTTGTAGATATTTTGATAATGGTCATTCTGGCTGGTATGAAGTGATACATCATTGTAGTTTTGATTTATATTTCTCTAATGATTAGTGATGTTGAGCATATTTTCATGTCCTTTTTAGTCATTTTCATGTCCTCTTTGGAGATAAGTCTATTTAGATTTTCTATCCATTTTTTTATTGGGCCATTTGTTTTGTATCCTGAATTGCATGATCTATTTGTATATTTTTGAGATTATTCCCTTATCAGTTACTCTGTTTGCAATTATTTTCTTCTATTTTGAGGGTTGTTTTTTCATCTTGTTGTTTATGCTTTACTTTGACTTCCCTGGTGGCTCAGAGGGTAAAGTGTCTGCCTGCAATGCTGGAGATCTGGGTTTGACCCTTGGGTCGGGAAAATCCCCTGAAGGAAATGGCAACCCATTCCAGTATTCTTGCCTGGAGAATCCCATGGATGGAGAAGCTTGGTAGGCTACAGTCCATGGGGTCATAAAGAGTAGGACACAACTGATGACTTCACTTTCACTTTCTTTAATGGTTTACTTTGCTGTGCAAAGCTTTTAATTTTAATTAGGCCCCATTTATCTTTGTTTCTATGACTCTGGGACTTCCCTGGTGGTTCAGATGGTAATGAATTGGCCTGGAGTGTAGGAGACCTGGGTTTTATCCCTGGGTCAGAAAGATCCCCTGGAGAAGGGAATAGCTACCCACTGCAGTATTCGTGCCTGGGAAATCCCATTGACAGAGAAGCCTGGTGGGGGTACAGTCCATGGGGATGCAAGAGTTGGACACGACTGAGTAACTAACCTTTCACTTTCACTTTTAACTATTTTTAGTTTTTGCCAGTCTAGGCAGTAGATCCTAAAATATCTTGCTGTGATTTAAGTCAAAGAGTGCTCTGCCTATGTTTTCCTCAGAATTTTATAGTGTGAGCCTTATATTTAGGTATTTAATGCATTTTATTTTTGTGTATGGTGCTAGAAAGTGTTCAAATTTCATTATTTTCCATGGAGCTGTTCAATTTTTCCAGCATCACTTATTGAAGAGACTGTCTTTTCTCCATTGTATATCCTTGCCTCCTTTGTCGTAGATTAGGTGACCATAGGTATATGGGTTTATCTCTGGGCTTTCTATCTATTCTTTTGATATATATTTGTTTTTGTGCCAGAACCATACTGTTTTGATGACTGTACACAGAAGTTTTGTGTAGCACAGGCAATAACACAATTAAAGTAATACAGAGGACTATTCAATTAATGTTTCTGGGGTGACTAATTATTCTTTGGAAATAGACTAGAGCCATGTGCCCACACCTTGCCTAAAATTGACTGGCATTTAAATAGGCAAATGTAATAACTAAGAAAACATAATAGACGAAGTGTGCTTTGAGTATGGTCAGGGGCAACTTTACATCACACATGTTATTTTTAAAAATTCTATTATGTGCCTTCATCATATTTTATTATTTGTTTGGCCTTAGAGCATTCTTTTTTTTTTAATAGCAACTGATCATCCTATTTATTTGGCTGTATTGGGTCTTAATTGAGCATGTGGGGTCCTTCACTGAGGCACACAGACCCTCTGCTGGTATGTGGGCTCAGTGGTTGCAGCATGTGTGCTCTCTCGTTGTGGCTCATGGGCTTAGTTTCTCTGTGGCATGTGGGATCTTAGTTCCCTGACTAGGGTTTGAACCCAAGTCTGCTACATTTAACCACTGGACCATCAGGGAAGTCCCTCTTCATCATATTTTAATAATAAAGGGAAAAATCTTTACTTCCCTAGAGATGTGTTACCGTTTCAGTGTGTATGTAATTAAATATCTGTATATTTAAAAAGTAATTTAGAGTAATTAAAAATAATATGCTTCCATTATGTTAGACACTTTTTACTTAAATAGACTGTTAAAATGAAATTTTCAATTACTTTCTGTATGTTTAAACAAGTTTATTTTACTTTGCCCTAAGTGATAATTATGGAACAACAGAAAGTAAATTTATAGAACCTATGTCAGAGACATGATATATATGCTATGTTCAAACTGTTCTTCAAGTGTGAATAAATTATGAGCTAGATCAATTCTTTATCTAGGCACACATACATCAGGCAAACCATGGGTTTTACAATATAGCCCCACAAAATACATTTGAGTGGTCAAACAAGTTTTAATAGTTCAAAACATCATACTGGCAGTCTAATTGTAAATTTTCTGTTAACAAGTTTGATGTCTTTTCTAAAAATAAATGGGCACTTAACAGGCTGAATGACTAATTCCTGGATAGTATGAGTTGCTTAATTTTTTGAGTTGCTGGAAATGTTGCCAGTAATTTAGCCCCAGGGAAATCTAAGCTATCCACTCTGGCTAGCCTAAGGTCTAGGGAATAAACTGTAGTTCACACTCTGGAATTGCAGATTTTTGGTCTTCTACTGATTTTAGTAGCAGAGTTTAAATAATAAAAGATCCTGATGCGAAAGAGATGGGTAATTGATTTATTCACATTGATATCAAATGAGAAAGAAAATTTTCAGAATTTTTCCTACAGCATCCAACAGCTGATTGGAAAGAATCCTTGTGCGTTCATCTAAGGTCATGGTCTACCAGCTTGAGGAGTCTGAGTGAGTTGATTGTGAGACTGATTTCTTATAGCTTTCATATAGAGGTCTTTGCCCCTACTCTTATGCCTCCAACTCCTGTTCATAATTAACTTTCATCCCTAGAAATTTTTTTTATCTGATCCATATCACCATCTTTGTCTTAGTACAGATTTCTGTTTTGTTTCTGTTGTTGTTGTCTCATCTTTGATTATTTTATTCTCATGATTTCTTTCTCTATCTACATGACAAATCAATGCAATGGTTAACCATTAGAATGAACCATTCAGGAAGTACACCTTTACTCATTTTAATGTATAAACTTGTATCTTTAAGACTTGGTAGACCGTCTTTGGAGAGATTGTTGACATTTTGTGAGGAAGACACTTTAAACTTACTTATCTATGAAATTAAGTTCATTTTTAATTTTTTAAAACTATACTCTTTAAGAGTCTTTATTGAGTATGTTACAATATTGTTTTTGTTTTATATTTTGGGTTTTTGGCCATGAGGCATGTGGAATCTCTGCTACCTGATCAGGGATTGAACTTGTACATTCTGCATGGGAAGGCAAAATCTTAACCACTGGACCACCTGGGAAGTCCCAGAAATCAAGTTTAATAATACATCTTTATTTACAGGTTGTTGTGATGAACACATGAGGTAATGCATTGCAAAACATTTAGAATTCATTCATGTACTGTTTATATGATACTATTTCTTAGTCAGTCATCCATTTTATTAGATTTTTCAAAATAATTCTATAAATTGCTTAACCAAACTGATTTTACTGGTCTTGGTATATGTTGTGTATATGGAGAGTGGAGAAGAAGAGAACAAAGATATTAAAACACAAATACTAAACTAAATAGATGTTTAGGATTTTTTAACAAAGTAAATATGGAAGATAATGATATTTTTCTTTTCATAAGTGAATGTATTAATGGTAATATGTAAAGATAAAAAGATAGGTAAAATATTAAAAAATAGACTAAATTAGAATCTGTATAAAAAATATAGAATAAGTGTGAGTAACACAAATTGGAGTTTGAAATAAGATTAAAACTACAGATAATTGGAGTTGAGAATTGGTGGACAGTATGTCAGAAGTTCGGAGAAGGCAACAGCACCCCACTCCAGTACTCTTGCCTGGAAAATCTCATGGACAGAGAAGCCCGATAGGCTGCAGTCCATGGGGTCACTAAGAGTTGGATACGACTGAGTGACTTCCCTTTCACTTTTCACTTTCACGCATTGGAGAAGGAAATGGCAACCCACTCCAGTGTTCTTGTCTGGAGGATCCCAGGGATGGGAGAGCCTCATGGGCTGCCGCCTATGGGGTCGCACAGAGTCGGACACAACTGAAGAGACTTAGCAGCAGCAGCAGCATGTCAGAAGTTAAGCTAATGTAGCAACTAATAAAAGCAGAAAATCTTTGGACTTCCCAGGTGGTGCTAATGTTAAAGAACCTGCATGACAATGCAGGAGATGCAAGAAACATGAGTTTGATCCTTGGGTTGGGAAGATCCCCTGGGGTAGGAAATGACAACCCACTTCCAACATTCTTGTCTCGAAAATTCCATGGACAGAGGAGCCTGGAGGGCGACAGTCCAGAGGCCGCAAAGAGCCAGACATGACTCAGCACAATGAATCTTTAGTTTTGTTAGACATCTCTTCTAAAGATCTCAAAACATAGATGTACTTCTTTCAGTAACTGGATAAATATTTTATTAAATCTAGAAATAAGCACACCAAGAAACCAACTTTTGTGGAAGTTACATTAGGACCATTCTGGAAGGGGAAGGGCAGATGATCATTGATTTAGTTCAGTGAGTAGAAAAGTATGATTTTTTATTTTGCAATGTTATTCTGAAATGTATTCCCCTAAAGAGGACTGAATCTACATTTATAAAGCAAAAACTCACTGATTCAACTCCATCTTTACTCCAAATATTGATCAAGCACGTCCCAAGGTGTGATTTTATCCAACTCTTCCATACAAACCTGTCAAGCATATACTATTATTGTGCAACTCATATCTTTGAGAATTTGACTAGCACAATATTTTGTCAAAGAATGCTTTGTCTTCAGGAAAAAAAAACACACACAAATTAATGCTTTGAATTGGTGAACTAATTCAAGTTTACTTTTGATCAAATTAAATTGGTTAATTACCAAAAGAACATTCAAGGCAAAAACTGATTGGAAAGCCATTTTTTCCCTCTTTTTAAATCAGTATAGTTTTCCAAATCATTATTAAGACACAATTGTGCCCCTAAACAAAGTAACTACTCTTCTCTTAGATGTATTATTCTAAGTCTAACAGGAAATCTTAATAATAAAAAATATTGTTGGAATATTCTTCTTTAGTTGAAACATTGCAGTTGCTTCTATAGATACTTACATAGTAGAAACCTAGAATTATGTAATCAAAATGTTATTTATGCAATTTTAACAAGTCATGGTAACTTGGATCTCCTTTAATACTTTTATTCATCCACAGATTATACAAATGCTAACTTCACACATGTGTGTTATTTACAATTCCATTTCCATAACCCTGCATCCTTCCTCCACCTGGAATCTGGATGCTTTCATTCATTCAAAATTCTTCGATTCTTCATAAGGCAATTAAAAAGTTTACTTCATCAACAACTCAGCTTAAAATGTTTTCCTTGGTATCTAAATTTCTGTGGGACCTGTTTCTGACAACCACATCCACTATATAGATAAATATAGAAGTGTGTGTTAGTGACTACTGATTTTCAAGCCTCACAATGTTTTTCAAAGGCATATGTAAAATAATAATATATAATACAGTATACAATAACATAAAATATAACATTATATATTACATAATACATATATCTGATAATATCTGATAATACATAACAATTAGAGATTATATAATATATAATACTATATGATAATATGTAATATTATGTAACTATATTATATATAATAATATAATATATAATTACTTTATCCATACCTTTAAAAACACACAGTATATATACAGATTATGATATAATATTGGGTATTAATCTTTGGATATATTTTATTCAATAATTTTATATACCTTTGTAAAACATTATGGGCACTTGAAATAATAATATATTTATTTTTATACTCCAATGATGTTTCCTAAACGTTTGAAATATTGAATATTTTTGTTCCTAAAATAAAAAATTAAAAAGACACTATGGTCCTGCAGACTATCTCATGCTCACATCTGACCTCAGGAATAATACTTTATTCACAATAAGCAAATTGCAGCATAAAAACAGATGCTATGAAGAAAATAAATAGGAAGGAATGGATTAGCAGTGAGAATGATCATGCTAAGTGCCAAACATAGTTCCTGTCAAAGAACAGGAACATAGTAAGTTTGCAGAAATTAGTCAGTGAAAAGATACTTTTTGTACACAATTATAAATTCTTCTTTTTGGTCAGAATACATGGCTCTTTGTTTTTATTATCTTTTCTATAATCAGTCTTACCTGCTTTTGTATTGGTCATTCAAGAGAAACAGTAATATTATGGATATCTACATTACCTAATTGAGCTACTTATAATGAACAATGGGGGCAAGGTATATACACTATTTCTGCCTAATATGTGAAGAAATTTACAGAAAGGTGATGAAACTGGTCTAAAATCAGTCTACTAAAATCAGTCTACTATAAGGACAGAACAACTATTAGTTCTATTACCAGTATGCATTAGATTCTTTAGCGATTCTTCATATGGTTTGCAAAGCTCATCAGCTTATTTCTTTGGATTCAACAACCATCAATATCAAAGTAAAAAAGGTACAATGGTACACTCAGAATTTTGAGAAATAATTGACTTTAAACTTTTCTGTATTGGCCTGATTCCACAGGGCATATTAGAGCCTGGTAATAACCGTGCTGTCTGCTAGTCTGCATATACCGGTATTGGAATTGTCCCACGTGTTATGTGCTCAGTCACTCAGTCATCTCTGACTCTTTTGTGACTACATGGTCTATAGTCCTCAAAGCTCCTCAGTCCATGGAATTTTCCAAGCAAGAATACTGGAGTGCGTTGCCATTTCCTATTCCAGGGGATCTTCCTGGCCCAGGGATAGAACCAGAGTCTCCTGCATTGGCAGATTTCTACAGAGCCATCAGGGAAACCCACTGTCTTGCATATAATGAAACACTCATTCCAGTGTTATGCAAACACAAGGATTCACCAAATTAATAAGGCCCCCTGGCCTATCAGAAACAAGTTCATCTTATTTGATGAACCATAATTTAAATCAATGCATTAGTGCCTGAAAATGGCTAGAATAGAAGTAAGCATATTTCAACGATACGCAAATACTTAGTTTTAAATCCAGACATCACTGGCCAAGAAAACAGCTTAATTATACTGTGATGCAAGTGACTGACACCAGATTTCTATCATTTGGATAAGAAGTGATGGGAAGGCGTGATGAGTCAGGCAGAGGTCCAAGTGAAGGAAGGAGTCAGTTCCAGAAGGGAGCACAGTGGAAGCAAGCAGAAGTGCCAGAGGCAAGTTTTCTCTTTTCCTGTGGCTTCTCCTGGACATTCTGCTTGATTCTAACTCATTTAGAATCTGAGACTATCAGGTCAAAATGGAATCTCAATGTCATTGTGTCCAAACTCCTTCATTAGGAAAATGAGGAAACATTCAGCTTGATTACACAACTTCACTGACTCTCAAGACAAACTTAGGACATAGGCATAATTTTTTTAAATGTTGAGAAAACCATGCTTAGTGTTTAAGTAATGTGAATATTATTAGCTGTGCTGAAACCAGCCACCCTAAGGCCACACTCCTAAGACATCCAAAGTACATTATTTCAATCACTCTCACTAAGTGCATATTAGAGTAAACCAGGAAAATAAAAAAAGTGAAAGTGTTAGTTGCTCAGTCATGCCCAACTCTATGCAAATCCATGGACTGTAGCCTGTCCTCTGTCTAAGCAACATTACTGGAGTGGGTAGCCATTCCCTTTTCTAGGGGATCCTTCCAAGCCAGGTAGCGAACCTGAGTCTCCCTCATTGCAGGTAGATTCTTTTACCTTCTGAGACACCATGAAAGCCCAAATCAGGAAAAGAACAACACTCTTACTCTAGCAAGTCTTATAGCAGAGGTGGCTTGGATCATGCTGGAGGGCAGATAAAAGCTAATCCGAATAAGTCAGTTTTCTCTGTCTCTCTTTGAAAGACACTGTCACTTTCATGGAGATCAAGGAACCCTTCCTACACTTCTTGTCTTGGACCAGATGAGCAGTCCTTAGACATCCCAATCTTTCTTCCACAAAGATAAGTTGTAGTATGCTTTGTTTCTTATTAACCATTATAAGTTGAATTGTATCCCCTCCAAAATTCATATGTTGAAATCCTAACTCCAGTATTCCAATTGTGACTTAGTTTGGAGACTGGATCTTTAGAGACAGTTGAGTTAAAATGAGGTCATTGTGGTGGGCTCTAATGCAATATGACTTCTGTTTTTATAAGAAGGGGAAATTTGGATACAAAAATACCCAGAGGAAAGTCCACTGACCTTCTCCAAAATGTATTCTTTTTCTCCTTCATGTCTTTATATCATAATAAAAATATTAGAAAAGCAAAATTCTTAAATTGGTTCTTGAAATAACTTTTAAAATATTTTACTATTTAAAAAGTAATATTATAATGGGCTTTCCAGGTGGCTGAGTGGTGCAGAATCCGTCTGCCAAGTAGTAGACACAGGTTTGATCCCTGGGTCTAAAAAATCCCTTGGAGAAGGAGATGGCAACCCAGTCCAGTATTCTTGCCTGGGAAATCCCACGGACAGAGGAGCCTGGTGGGTTGCAGTCCATGGGGTCACAAAGAGTTGGAAACTACTAAGGACCCAAACAACAATGACAACAACAAAGATTATAATATTAACACCAATGTGTATTCATTCTAACTGTTGAAAAAAAAATTTTCTCATTCCCAGAGAGATAACCACACTTATTGCATATATGTTAGAGATTTTTTTAGGTCCTAAAAATCTTTTATACTAAGTGATATATTAAAAATTCATTTACTCTAATGACACAAAAATTATATTATGAACAATAAAAGTTGTAGAGGTGACAGATTTACTCAAAAGAAAATTTAAATTGATGTTTAAAAAGTCAAAATTTAATGGGTCCCAGATTGTTTTTATAGCACTGCTATTGGTTAAATACAAACGTTTTGGGGGATCGTTTCTTAGAGTAACTCTTCCCTTTTATTTGAACCACGTAGGCAAACAGGTTGTCTCTTCTTCAAGTCAAAGCTTTTTGCTCCATACTCAGTTTACTGTTCTTACTTAAAATATTAGGTTCTGTGAAGATATTGATGACACCGTCCAGGTGCAGTGAGAGTGATGTACCATCAGACTCTCAAGTATCACAGACAAAGTCAATCTTCAGTTCTGGTAGGTCCTAAAACAAGGCCAGTCGTGTGCCAATATTTCAGGGCACTGTCCCACATGCTTTTCCTGGAACATGACTTAAAATTGTGACTTTAAAGATCATAGGCTAGCAAGATTTCTACTGGAAGAGAAGACTCAGAAACAGGACACAGTCATGCATTTAGCAGAGACCACTAGGTTAAATTCAGGCCACAGTGCTGTTTGGAACATTAGTAAATGTTATGCTAAACTCAAGTTTATTTCTACTAAAAGCTGTGAAAATTTGACATCACAGTAACTGAAATCTCATAGGGAAACCTGCAGCAATTCCATCACTACGAGCTCTTGACCTGCTAAGATATTTATAGTACCTGCTCAACCTCTGTAAGTGGTTCTGTTACAGCCATTTCAGTGGCCCCCACCCCTGCCAAAAACTCACAAACTGCACTGTACCTAGTGCAGCAAATTTATTAATAGTACTTTTTGAGTGGATAATTACTGAATGAATACGATTATTTCACCTTTTGCATTAGTTTTCACAACTTGTTATTATGCATGTATATAACCATAGTATCTGAAAAAATATGCTTATTTGTTCATTTATAATCTGTTATTGTTCAGACTTAACAGAGAAAGAGCAAAAGAAAAAAGAAAAAGAAAAGTTAGTGGGATCCATGAACTATGCAGAGAACCAGATTTACTTTTTACCATCTTTATGGACAAATCTGTGAGTGTGTGTTTTGCACTAACTATCACTAAGACCATATCCATCTTGAATATTCTCTGACTATTGCTTTTCATGATTTGGGAAGGAAATGACAAATGAGACAACTGTAACTGAATTTATTCTAAAGGGCTTCTCAGACGTGCCTGAACTGAGGCTCATTAGCACCGTCTTTTTCCTTTTCATCTATCTCTTTGCCCTCCTGGGAAACAGCTCCATCATTGCAGCTGTGAGCCGAGACAGCCGCCTCCACATCCCCATGTATTTCTTCCTGAAGAATCTCTCTTTCTTGGACATGTGCTACACCACAGTCATCATCCCCAAGGCACTGATTAATTCACTCATGGGTTCAGAAGTCATCTCCTTTTGGGAATGTGTGGCTCAGCTCTTCTTATTTGTAACGCTATGTGCTTCTGAGTGCTTCCTGCTCACCTCTATGGCATATGACCGTTGTTTGGCCATCTACAAGCCTCTCCTTTATGGTGTCATTATGAGCAGAAAGCTGTGTACAGAGCTTGTTATGGTGGCCTGGTTGAGCGGAGCTCTCTATGCCATCTTTCACACCATCAACACCTTCTCCCTCCAGTTCTGTGGGCCTAATGTCATTGACCACTTTTTCTGTGACAGCTCCCCATCATGAGACTCTCCTGCAGTGACTCCCATACCAACGAGGAAGTTGGATTTGTGGTGGGTGGGTGTACTATTCTTGGTGCCTTTGCCCTCACCATCATCTCCTATGTTCTCATCATTGCTACCATCGCTCGGACCCACTCTGCTGGTAGCCGTTGGAAGGCCTTTTCCACCTGCTCTTCTCATCTTACTACCATCACTCTATTTTATGTCACTGGGAGCATTGCTTACCTGAGACCTACTTCTCATTACTTCCCCCTTCAAGGACGGCTAGTGTCTGTGTTTTACTCCATTTTAACACCTAGTCTTAATCCTGTTGTTTACTGTCTGAGAAACACAGACATGCAGGCGGCCCTAAAGAAACTATTTGTTCCATCCAAATAGGCATATTTTTCATATATTAAGCATATTTCTCTGAACATTAACCTAGATGAAAGTTTCTCGAAACACATAATCTAGTCAAGTGAATAGTGAAGAAATAGAAAATGTGAACAGATTAATAACAAGTAGGGAGATTAAAGCAGTAATAAAAAGCCTTCCAACAAAGAAAAGCCTTATACCATTGGTTTCATTGGTGAAGTGTACCAAACACTAAGAATTAATGCCAACCCTCCTAAAACTCTTCTAAAAAAACTGATTATGGAATACTTGCAAACTAACTTTATGGGGCCAGAATTATCTTCACACCAAGGCCAAAGACACTACAAGAAAATAAAACTGTATGAACTTGGATGAACATAGATGCAAAAATCTTCAACAAAATACTAGTAAACCTAACTCATCAGCACATTAAAAGGACATACACCATGACCAAGTGAGCTTTATCCTGGGATTCCAAGCAGCATATGCAAACCAATAAACATACTGCACTGCATTAACAGAAGCAAGAGTAAAATTGTATGATCATCTCTATAGATACAGGAAAAACATTTGACAAAATACAGTTTTTCATGATAAAAACTCTCAATAAACTGGGTATAGAGGGAACATATGTGAACATAATAAAGCCCATATATAGCAAACCCACAACTAACATCATACTCAATGATGAAAACCTGACACCTTTTCTTCTATGAATAGGAAGAAGACAAGGGTGCCCACTTTCACCCCCTCCCTCTTATTAAACACAGCACTAGAACTCCACCCAGAGGAAATAGGCAAGAAAAAAAATATTTTATGTATACTTCATTACAATAAATAAATACATGAAAGAAAAAAACAACTACAAGAATTATTGTGATCCCAAAATAACCAATAGTTTCTGCTTCTCATGGATAATTTAAGCTATTTATGAATCTGAGATACTAATTATATATCCCCCACTATCCCTTTGAAACTCTATAAAGGAAGGAAAAAGGCAAATAATTGAATCAAGTTTACAGGAGAAAACTTCAGTTTTACAAGAGAATTGTGCTATAACTTCATTTTGTTGATCTTATTATAATGAAATAAACTTCTGCAAAAATTCTCTCCATTAGCTCTGTCATAATATAAATAGGCATTTACTTCTAACATTCAGTTCAGTTCGGGTCAGGTGCTCAGTCGTGTCTGACTCTTTGTGACCCCATGAACTGCAGCACGCCAGGCCTCCCTGTCCATCACCAACTGCCGGAGTTTACCCAACTCGTGTACATTGAGTCAGTGATGCCATCCAACCATCTCATCGTCTGTCGTCCTCTTCTCCTCCTACCCTCAATCTTTCCCAGCATCAGGGTATTTCAAATGAGTCAGCTCTTCGCATCGGGTGGCCAAAGTATTGGAGTTTCAGCTTCAACATCAGTCCTTCCAATGAACACCCAGGACTGATCTCGTTTAGGATGGACTGGTTGGATCTCCTTGCAGTCCAAGGGACTCTCAAGAGTCTTCTCCAACACCACAGTTCAAAAGCACCAATTCTTCAGCGCTCAGCTTTCTTTATAGTCCAACTCTCATATCCATACAAGACTACTGGAAAACCCATAGCCTTGACTAGACGGACCTTTGTTGACAAAGTAAAATGTCTCTGCTTTTTAATATGCTGTCTAGGTTGGTCATAACTTTCCTTCCAAGGAGTAAGCGTCTTTTAATTGCATGGCTGCAATCACCATCTGCACTGATTTGGAGCCCCCAAAAATAAAGTCAGCCACTGTTTCCACTGTTTACCCATCTATTTCCCATGAAGTGATGGGACCGGATGCCACAATCTTTGTTTTCTGAATGTTGAGTTTTAAGCCAACTTTTTCATTCTCCTCTTCAACTCTCATCAAGAGGCTTTTTAGTTGTTCACTTTCTGCCATAAGGGTGGTGTCATCTGCATATCTGAGGTTACTGATATTTCTCCCAGCAATTTTTATTGCAGCTTGTGCTTCCTCCAGCCCATTCTTATGATGTACTCTGCATATAAGTTAAATAAGCAAGGTGACAATATACAACCTTGACATACTCCTTTTCCTATTTGGAAACAGTCTGCTGTTCCCTGTCCAGTTCTAACTGTTGCTTCCTGATCTGCATACAGATTTCTCAAGAGGCAGGTCGGGTGGTCTGGTATTCCCATCTCTTGAAGAATTATCCACAGTTTATTGTGATCCATACAGTCAAAAGCTTTGGCATAGTCAATAAAGCAGAAGTAGATATTTTTCTGGGACTCTCTTGCTTTTTCAATGATCCAGCATATGCTGGCAATTTGATCTCTGGTTCTTCTTCCTTTTCTAAATCCAGCTTGAACATTTGGATGTTCATGGTGCATGTATTGCTGAAGCCTGACTTGGAGAATTTTGAGCATCACTTTACTAGCATATGAGATGAGTGCAATTGTGTGGTAGTTTGAGCATTCTTTGGCATTGCCTTTCTTTGGGATTGGAATGAAAACTGACCTTTTCAGTCCTGTGGCCTCTGGTGAGTTTTCCAAAATGCTGGCATATTGAGTGCAGCACTTTCACAGCATCGGCTTTTAGGATTTGAAATAACTCAACTGGAATTCCATCACCTCCACTAACTTTGTTCATAGTGATGCTTCCTAAGGCCCACTTGACTTCACATTCCAGGATGTCTGGCTCTAGGTGAGTAATCACATCATTGTGACTCTCTGGGTCGTGAAGATCTATTTTGTACAATTCTTCTGTGTATTCTTGCCACCTCTCTTAATATCTTCTGTTTCTGTTAGGTCCATACCATTTCTGTCCTTTATTGAGCCCATCTTTGCATGAAAGGTTCCCTTGGCACATGGTTATAGAGGTTGGTCCAGCTTCTGCTTGTACAAATATATCAAATAATACTTGCTATCAATAGTAAGATAGGTTTAAGGATTTGACCTAAATTGGCATAAGCCGTCTAAATGAAAATTTTGTGAAATCTTTCAGCAAGTAAGCTAGTTCTATAATTCTATCCTAATGACTCCGACATGCACTTAACCATAATCAAAGGTATTTACTAAAGTATTTTGGTGAAATAATGAGAACTGGAAAGAATTTATATGCTCATTCACAGAAGTTTAAACAAATTATGGCTCAGCTATACAATTGATGAAGTGAAGTCGCTCAGTCGTGTCCGACTCTTTGCGAGCCCATGGACTGTAGCCCACCAGGCTCCTCCGTCCATGGGATTTTCCAGGCAAGAATACTGGAGTGGGTTGCCATTTCCTTCTCCAGGGGAATCTTCCCAACCCAGGAATTGAACCCAGGTCTCCCGCATTGCAGGCAGACACTTTAACCTCTGAGCCACCAAGGAAGTGTTATTCGCTCAGTCATGTCCCACTCTTTGGCGACTCTGTGGATTGTAGCCTGCCAGGCTCCTCTGTCAACGGGATTCCGCAGGCAAGAATACTGGAGTGGGTTGCCATTCCCTTCTCTAGAGGATCTTCCCCCTGGGTCTTAAGCATTGCAGGCGGACTTTTTACCATCTGAGCCACCAGGGAAGCTGGCCAAGCGCGCACAGGTTGCTGGGCGCGGGTGGAGGGCGGCAGGGCGGCAGCAACCCACGAAGAGAGGAAGGGGGAGACGATCACTGCGGGCCGACTGACCCGCCTCACCGAGGAGGGCGCACCTACCCACGCTTGGTCCACTCGAGGCGCAGAGCATCACAGCGGCGGCGTGGAGGAACGAGGGGGCGTCCCCCGTGGCAGGCACCCTGCCCCGGCGGCCCGGGAGCGGGTCAGGGGACACCCGCCTGTCGCGTCGGGACCTGCAGACGCGCTCTCGCTTTCTCCCGCACGGGGGCGGTCGTCGCGTGCACGCGGCCGGTCCATGACCGCTGGCGGGGACTCAACCCGCGCTCGGGAGCGGCCGGAGTAGGGCGCTGCGGGGCATGGCGCTCCCTCTCGCCCAGCACTAAATGACGTCGGCGGACAGGCTTCGGCGTCGGGCAACGGAGCGGAGCCGCGGCGGCTCGTGAAGTGAACCACACCGGGCGCGGCCCTGGGGGTCGGCGGACGGACTGACGGAGAAAGGGACCCACAGGGTGCAGCCAGATAGGCCGGCGTCGCGAAGACGTGGCGGCGGCGTAGAAGCGGCTGTTGGGTGGGGCTGCCGCGCGCCATCGCGAGGGGCCCTGAGACGTTCAAAACGAGTCGCCATCGCGAGTCGGCCGCCCGGGCACGCCACGGGGTCTCACCGCCAGAGGCCTCTAGCACAGGGGCGGTCCCGCGGCACCCAGGACGCCGACTGGCCTCCCCGGCCACCAGGGGAGCCCTTGCGGGTCTCTCGACCACCACCGCCAACACCCAAAGTCGCAGCCGGTGCGGGAGAAGGC